TTATTTTGGATGCGATTAATCATGATTAATCATTGCCCAGCACTAAAAAATTACAAAAGTAAGGCTACATAATTAAGGCCGTTCTCAGCGAGGAACACGCCGCTGGTGCCGGTGATTGCCTGAACCTCACAACTCGAAACAGGGGCTTATCTTTATAAACAAATCACAGTTTTGAGCTTTAAACAACTATATTCCACCACTTAAAACTACAATTCGTGACACAACAACAGTAGCATTTTGAAAATGATGCAGGTTTTCTTGCGTTAACTGAAACTGAAATTAAAAACCTCCGAACCTAAATGACATGTGTTCCTGTCCTAAACATCTGCATTCATCTGTTTCCTTTACAGCCCCATTATGCCGCACCTCCAGGATCTTTTGTAAGTTAAATGTTTGGCAGATAAATAATCAATATAAATCTCTAATAATAATTCTAGGTCACATAAATCATGAAAGACGTGGTGAGGACAATCTTGTGGTAATCAAGAGTGTTTCGATTTTAGTTTTTGAAGAGTTACTAGCACTTTTATTTCATCAGTGACATAATGCATTGCACTGACACGAAGCTTCAAAAGATATGTGGTAGGTCTCTGTTATTATTAGTGTCTGCTATTATCAGCATACTTTATTGTAGGAATACTATTTGATGTTTGGACATTACATTTTTACAATGCATTCTTAAAATATCTTGAATACAAATAATTTATGTATTATATTTAAAGTGGATTTGAATTAAAGTTTGACGAGGGACTAAACAGTTAGTGTGCTATACAATATTGCATTTCAGTATATTATAAATATCTTTAATTTCTTTGACCCACAATGAGACAATGCCGTACAAAAGCATAATCTATGGTGGAGTACAGCCTGGCAAAGTCATCATCATCCAAGGAGTCATCAGCCCACAAGCAAAAAGGTTTGACACAAAAAAGATCATAGATCTGTTTTAAAATGGTTTTACATGCTGTTGGGACATACACATTCTCCATATGATCCATGATATAAAGATATCATTTCCTCTACTTTCCGTTCTGCAACAGGATATGTTTTAAACTACGGTACATAACTGGAATTGCGTTGGAATACAGTCTTCGTTTTGATGAGAATGTGGTTGTATGCAACAGTTATGATGATGGGACATGGGGCAAGGAGGAACAATGTGGATGCATGCCGTTTAAAAGAGGGCAACCACTGCAGGTAGACGTTGTTAAAAAGGAAAATGTAGACATATGTGCAATAGATTTGGGGTGAAATATGTATTTTAGTGATTTCACATCCTTGTCTTCTTTGTGTGTTTCAGGTCACCATTTTCTGCACTCATCAAAATTTCGAGGTCTTTTCCAACGGTGAAAAAGTTCACACTTACAGCCATCGCTACAGTAATCTGGAGAACATTGATGTTTTAGACATTTGTGGAGACGTGCAGCTCAGCTTTGTGCAGCCCTGACAAAGACTTCATCCAGATCTATGAGAAATACATGTTCAAAACCTGCATCAGTCTATATAAACCTGTATGCCAAAGATGATTATTCAAATGCAAAGATGTTTTGCTTGCCTGCATATTAATCTGAGACCAGTGGGACTGTCCACAGCTGCATAAATAACTAAAAATGAATAAACACTGTTCTGCATGCATGTGTCCAACTTATGTGTGTTATCTGTGTAAATAATT